AGGAACTTTCGGACTTCCAAAAACATTAGGGGTATAGTCCCCCTTAAGTGGATAGAATATGGGGGAGATGGGGGATCTCATTATAATATACCCAAAGCCATACTCTATCTACTTAAGGGGGACTATACCCTTTTGGGATCCCTGTCAAAAAGATTATATTGTATCAAGGTCTATACTTGCTGGAGACTACCACTTACATCAACTCACCGTTATAAGGACAACATACTGCTTACTGTCTAATGTAGACCCCTGACTAATAACCCCCCCTTAATAGGGATAATAATAGCAATCCTAATTTTAAGGCCCTTAGAGTGAGGGGGTTTATTAATCATGGGGCTACATTATCCTCAAGACTAGGTTCGCCAGCAACCCCCTTGATAATCAGGGTACCCTTTTCCTGATGTTCAGCTTTAAAACGGAGACCCCAAAATACAAAGCCCTAAATCCTAATGCTCAGCTTTAATAAGGAGATCCCAAAATAACAAAAGGGAGAAAGTGTATCCTGGCATGGGGTACCTAGTAGAGTTCAAGGTACCAGGCTAAAAGACTTTACATGGGTTTAGGGGTTTAGGGTTTTTGCCTGAACTCCATCAAACTTCAGACCCCCGATGCCTTGTGAACCCAAGCTAGGCCCAGGCAACATCCTAGAGTCCCTTGAAAACACCACTGTGAGTTACAGGAGTGCTTCTTTCTTAGTATGCCTGCCTACTTTCTAGCTGGAGCCGTTTATGGCCAACAAAAACATCAGCAGACACATAGATGGGAATAGCCCATTTGCCCAGAAGGCAGGGACATCGCACAGAAAAACCTTTACTTAGATTCTCTTCTGGCTCCTGAAGTTATGAGCAGCTCCTATATGTTTCCGCCCGGTCCTGCGCCGATAGGGCTTGGTGCTGGGCCACCGCCACCTCAAAAATTGTGTCTTGTAGGGACTAGATAGGTATACATTCGAATAACGCTGGGGTGTAGGCGATTAGAATTCACGTTCGTTTAGAGGGGTATGACCTAAAGGGTCCATGTAGGCATATAGTATAGACCTAGGCCCCAAAAGGGGTTCCCATATACCTACTTAAAGGCCCAAGTATATACTATAAACTCGAGCAAGGCCCTGTT